CATTTTTGAGAGTAGACGTATACTATGAAGGATGATACTGGGGCAAGAGCATGAATCAAGACTGTTCCAGCGAAACTAGAGCATGTGATTTGGCTGCTTATAAAAGTTCCTTCCCTAAAAAAAATAGATTCCTGAATTGTTTTGTATTCGTTGTTCCAAAAGCTCAGTTCTTCAGACTTCAAACTCTCAATACTAGCACTGGCTTTTTGGACAGTCTTCTGTCTGCCAATCATAATATATCAAACATGAATTAGGAACCCAAAGTTTCTTGGAGTACTGAATTTTCTACTATCTACCAAGGAGTCATCTCACAGACTTCAGACGTAAAAATTATCCCAAAACACCTGAATTGAAAGCTCATAAAATAAGAGTTCCCAGGTCTCATTGATTAGGTTTTTCTTCTTGAAAATCAGTTGCTTCTGTCACCAGGACACTGGCAGAGAGACCAGTATCCCTGCTGTAACTCCAGTATAAAGAAAACTCAACAGCAGGGTGTGACTAGGGGAAGAGATTATGCCCAAACTAACTCCTGATTCTACCCTTTATTATTCTCTCCCTACTCTCTCTAAAGTTAATGCTGAGACCTCAAAGAGATGAAAGGGTCTGAAGAGAGGCAGCCAGAAAGAGTGGAATGGAAGGGATAGCCTACAGAATTCTACTAACCTTGCCCCCATCAAGATGAACCAACAATTGGAGATAACGCCAGTGTCAAACTGCACACCCAACACACACCAGTGTTTCTTGCATATCCTAACTTGTAATACAAAGTCCAGATTTTAAATCTTTTTCTTCCTTTTTTTCTCCTTTTCCCTTTGAATCTACAATGGTTCCTGGATTACCTAACAACTCTATAAAAGGCCTGCCAAGCAAAGAAACTGTAGTAGCTACTCCATAAAGAAGTGCCAAGAACTGCTGTATGGAGTTACAGTCTCAAGGGATCCTCCTTCTCTGGGTTCTCTCTCCAGTTGCCCTGCCCTGCTGCCATGCAGTTAGGTCCTGACGTTAGTATGTGTCTTACTCTCTCTCCTCGAACTTCAGGAATTCAAGTTTTCTCCCTTGTCGGTTTGTCAAAGCAAAAGTGAACATCACAACAACCTGTTGCTTAAACCAGAAGAAATTGTTTTTAACCCAAAAGTCAATTTGTACTAAAAGAAATGCCATAGAAGTTAAGTGGATGTGAGTCATCAAAGACAAGTTGTTTCTGTGATGGTGGTCTTTGGTCCTCTACCCAGGCTCTTTGTATGGCCTAGTCTGGTCTACAGGGCTGCTAATCAAATGACCTCTGCTCCTTTAACCAAACACATATATGACATACATGCTATGTGAATTACTAGGAAGCAGGGAGGTGCATGGTAAAGGTGAACTCCTGGCTGGACCTCAAACACTGGCAAAACTCTGGAATTGGCTGCTGCCATTGTAACATTAATTTGATGTATCAGAAGACATAAAAAAGGAAAAATACTGAGGATCAAAGGACTTGGGGGGCAACATATCATTCCTATATTTGCTATTTTTGCTTAGTCCCTTGTTACAAAGGCCCATCAATAGGTCAAGTGCAGGGCATTTGTGGCATCCTACGTATTGAAAGTTGCCAATGCTGAACTTTGATGTGGGTGGGTATGCCAGTGTGTGCTGAGCATTTGAAATTGGTCCCGTGGACTAACAAAATGAACTTCAGACTGGAGAGTAACATTTATATACCGCAGGCATTTATTGAGTAACTTTAATATGCCGGTTCATTTTGCCAATTAGTGATGATGCAAAACCAAAGATAGAGTAGTCACTGTCCTGATGGGGGTCTCCTCATTTATTTGGAGGAACTGATACCCAAACAAAATAATTAGATAAATGATCATTACCATTACGGTGGTATGAACAAGATGCTCGGTGAACCAAATACGCAGTATTAGCCTGGAAGATAAAGAAAGGTTCGAGAAAATCTTTGCAGAGGAATTGACACTTGAGCTGAGTTTGAGGAAAGGGTAAAATTTCTCTGGGTGAAAAATGTGAAACTGGTGTCTTAAGGCAAAAAAGATCAATACATTCAAAAACGAGAGAAGTGTGCAAATAACTTTGTGTGTTTGGGAAACTACAACTAGTCCAGTGTGACTGGAGAGAAAGTGTGGGGACAGACAGGGGATGTCGGGTCTGGAATGTTGTGCTAAGAAACTGGTACTTGATTCTGGAGGCCCTAGGGGAGTCAGTAAAGTATTTCAAGCAGATGAGCAGCTGTCTTAGTTCTGTCTGCTGTAACAAAAATGCCATAGACTGGGTAGCTTCAACAGCAAACATGTAGTTCTCAACAGCAAACAGTTCTGGAGGATGGGAAGTCTAAGATCAGGGCTTCGGCAGACATACTGTCTGGTGAGAGCCCACTTCCTGGTTTGCAGATATCTTCTTTCTGTATCCTCACCTGGCAAAGAGAGAGAGGAAGCAAGCTCTTCCCTGCCACTTTTTATAAAGATACTCATGACCTAGTTACCTCTCAAATGCCTCACCTCCTTTGTGGATTAGGGCTTCGACATTACACCGGGGATTAAGGTGTTAGGATTGCCTTGAGGATTAAAGTTACAACATACGAATTTGGGGGAACACAGACATTTGGCTCATAGCAGCAGCATGACTTGATGTGTTCTGATTCTGATCACCCTGGTGTCCTAGCAGAGCTCACTCTTGTTCATATCAAAAGTCCAGCTGAGATATGAGGACTCTTGATGAAAGGCAGCTGCTTTCAGGGAAGGGTTGTGGGAGCTCAGAGGAAAGGAAGGCGGGGAGGGGCTGAGGAAGAGAAGGAGAGAGACCTGAAAAGAGGTGAGAGAAGTGCCAAAACTATGCCATTCTGAGAAAAGATTAACATTTAGTCATATGGGAATGCATCATTATCTCTTTTCCTATGTATCAGCTCAATTACTTAAAGTGCTGACACTTCTGCTTGGATTCTCTCATTATCTGTGTAGGAAAATATGGAACAAAGCCAAAAGCATTTCTGCCTATATGTTTGAGAAGAATATTGGTATAATTGCTAGTAAAATTTTACCTGGGGATAGCTAAAACATATGTTTTTCTCATTTAGAAAAAATAAAGAAATAAACCAGAGTAATGATTTTCAAAATTTTTGTCCAAGAACAATCTGGTGCTAGTTAAAAAATACAAATTTCCGGAGTCTTTTCCAGATGTAGTAATGCAGAATCTCCCAAGAGGTTAGGGCCTGGTACTTTGCATTTCATTAAGCACAGGTGATTCTTACATGAACTACAGTCCGAAAACCAATAGATCATTGCTAAAGTCCCTTGCAAATCCACCATGTTTTTAATCACTAAATCGCTTCATAGCATAAAGATTTTTCAAGCACCTCTGAGAGAACTAAATCTCTCTGAGAGATAAATAGGCTAATGTCATCCTTAATAATGTCACATTATTACCAATAGAAGATATTTATTCAGTGCTCATTTGTGCCAAGTAGATGACAAACACGTGGCATACACAATCTCATTTACTCATGTCAATGTCCTTTAGCCAAGGACCATCAGAGACCCTCATCATGAACCCAGTTGGGTTTATTACTTGTTAGATCGAGAAAGAACACATGTCTTGGGGAGGAGACACGAGCTGTCTCAATAAGAGGATGTTGGAAAGAGTGTGTTATAAGATTTCTCTCTGGTTGCGTGATTTGGAGAAGGGTCTAGACAAGCAGGGGTTCACTCTAGACTGGGTGTTGTCAGAAAACAGAGGTAATGTTATGACTGGATGTCAACAAACACACTCTTGGGGAGGGAGCCCAGCACACGAGTAAAGCTGTAGTTGATATAGAAGTAGCAGTTAATCGTTTTAGCTGAGAGGGGGGTGCTTGGTATTTAGTGGGAGGCATGCTGACTTTGTTTTGGCCTGCGCTTGTCTCCTTTCCTCATGATCTCAGAGCAAGCTGGGCTGCAGTTGCTATTCTGTGAGATTGTTTCCATCCGATGGGGGAATAACATAGGTTAGCTCCCAGGGCCAGGCCAGCTTCTGAATGTCAGCGGCTTTTCTTTCTTTTGTTTTCTTTAAGATTTTATTATTTATTTTGAGAGAGAGAGAAAGGGAGGGTAAAAGAGGGGGAGAGAAGCATCAATGTGTGGTTGCCTCTCACTCGCCCCCTACTGGAGACCTGGTCTGAAACCCAGGCATGTGCTCTGACTGGGAATCCACCCAGCAACCTTTTGGTTCATAGGTGGGAGCTCAATGCACAGAGCCACACCAGCCAAAACATCTTTCTCTTTCTTTTTTCTGTATTTCTTCCTCGTCCAACATACTATATACCATGAGGTAAGTACTATGAAATAACTGGTGCTCTGAGAGGTTACATAGCTACTGAGTGAACTTTCTCAGTCCACAAAGTTTTGCTGCCTCCCCCGACCCTGGAAAATGGGAGGCAATCTATAAAGCAGTAAACTTCTCAGTCTTGGACCCAACGATCAGAGAATCCTTTCCCTTGGTTCTTCTCACCAGCCGACTACCAGCCACTCATTTTTAGTTACATGAAATAGTTCAAAGGCAAAGTCAGTAGCTATGCCTCAAAGTATCTGGTCAACTCAGTCAAAACTAGCAAAGATCAGAATCCAGACTGGTGTCCTACATTAGACTGACAAATTGCAGAAAGAAAGAAATTTTAGGTTAAAGTGGTCTCTGTCATCAAGGAAAATCAGTCCGTGCTGTGGCATTCCGAGGCAGTTCTATAAAGGCATAGACTTTTCCTAGAAAATGCATGGGACATAACTGAACTGTGGACACATGCATTTCAGGTCAAAAGTTCAAATCGATGTGCTGCTAAGTCTAGAAAACACTAAGAATCCAAATAAAAGCAGCTGTAGGGATGAGTCTAAAACACGGACAGGACAGCTTTAGAATACACCAGAGAATGAGGGTAAACTCCACAGGCATTTCCACTGAATGCAGCGTGTAAAAGGGATCCATGAAATCCCCTCCTCACCCCGGGCCCCTTTTGTGTCATTCTTGCTAACGCAGCAGCTGGTCTCCTATATAGCCTACCCGTGCTGCCGGACCATCCACTGAACTCGCTTCATCAGAGTCAACGGGCCATGGGGAAGGTGAGCGGAACACAAGTGAAATAAAATGGAAAAAAAATTCAAAGCCTCCATACAAGACCAATTGGAACTAAATGATTTCATTTGCAATTCTTCCTTTGCAGATCACCTTCTATGAGGACCGGGGCTTCCAGGGCCGGTGCTACGAGTGCAGCAGCGACTGCCCCAACCTGCAGCCCTACTTCAGCCGCTGCAACTCCATCCGTGTGGACAGTGGCTGCTGGATGCTCTATGAGCGCCCCAACTACCAGGGCCGCCAGTACTTCCTGCGGCGTGGCGACTACCCGGACTACCAGCAGTGGATGGGCCTCAGCGACTCCATCCGCTCCTGCTGTCTCATTCCTCAAGTGAGTTCCGCTTGGTGGCGGTCACGGTGCCTGAGGGTCTTCACAGTATTATTGCGGGTGGTTAGGATGAAGGAGGTTTTCCTTTAAAAACACCAAAGGATTAGGAGGGCTTTAGATACTTGCCTAAACCCAGATAGATACTGGCACAAGAACAGCACAGACTAGTAGAGAAGAATTCACTTAGAGAGTTCATTTTATTTTTAATTTTTACTACCAATAAGTCAATCAAAAGTCTGTGACAAATATAATAACGTGGTGGTATATAAAACAAAATTTGCAAATGGGAAATTGGTTGTACAAAAAAAGGCAGTATTTCTAAGAAATTCATTTGACCTGTAGTAAGGGAATTGATAATGAATGAGATAGATAAGCTCCACTGTAGAGTAGTAAAAATGGAAAACTCTATTGTTAATACAGGCTGTTGAAAGGTAATGTCCAACTTGGGAAAGAGTAATTGTTCTCAATTTGGAAAATCAGTTGAATTATGACTTTAAGTAATTGTTTGAACCAATTTTCACTGACTCATGTCAGTTTTTAAATTCTACATGTAAATTTATATACATATACAAATTTATAGACATATAAATCTATAAATGTGTATGTATATAAATTTGGGATATAACACTCACATTAAAAGAATGTCACTCAAAATACTTCATATTTCTCCTAAATATTGGCTTAACATGTAGGAATTAAGGAATTACATAATCAGGAGTTAGGAAAATAAGATATTTGAACTCTTGATAAATTCTAACCCAGACTTATGAATCTCTTAAAAAATCACATGTCCTAGATAGGAAATAGAAAACAAGCCTGCAAATATGTGTTAAATGCTAGTAGAACACAGATCCATTCAAAGCAACCCTAGAGTCTCAGTATTTACACAGACAATCCCATGCCCCAACCCACCAAGTTCATCTGTTGTTTGGTTTCTTCTGTCCCTTCTGTCTGTGGACGGAGCAGACAGGCTCCCACAGGCTGCGGCTGTACGAGAGAGAGGACCACCAGGGCCTCATGGTGGAGCTGAGCGAGGACTGCTCCAGCGTCCAGGACCGCTTCCACCTGAGTGAGGTCCGCTCCCTCCACGTGCTGGAGGGCTGCTGGGTCCTCTATGAGATGCCCAACTACCGAGGGCGGCAGTACCTGCTGAGGCCCCAAGAGTACAGGCGCTACCAGGACTGGGGAGCCGAGGATGCTAAGGCTGGCTCTTTGCGGAGGGTGGTGGATTTGTACTAAAATACTTCACACTACCATTTTCTCACTTTGGAACCTAATAAAGTATTTAGTCTGTATTGTTGGCAATTGTTGGCTTCTGTTGTTTTTGCATTGCGTGCCAATTATAATTCACAAGTAGATGCTCTGTGGTAAAGGAAGCATTTCTAGAGTCCTTTGAGGAGTGAGTAAGTGGGAAGGGGTCTGGTTTAGAAGAGCTCCAAGATAAAATAAGTCTTGAACAGGTTCAGAAGTGAGGGTGGAGAGGGGAGGTAACCCGTCTGAGAATGCAAAGCAAGTCAACACAGAGAAACAGGGGAGGGTGACGGGTGGGGAAGGAGGCATTCAGCCTCAGCTTTGAGGAACACATTCCTTTTGATCAAGAGGTGGTTGGAGGTCACAGAGGGTCACAGAGGAGTGGTGAACAAAAGCCTACCTGGCATAAAGCCTGATCATACTATATAAGGAACTGTAGTTTTGTTCACTTTCAGGCACAGTATTGTGTAACTAAGGCCAAGGTTGTTCCCGGCCGTTGCCAAACTTTCAGATGCATTACGGACCCTCCTTCCTATTCCAAAACAGCTTCTGCTTGGGGTGTACCAATTATTGGCCACGATAGCTGCTGGGCCAAACACTGTGTGAAGGGCAGAAACTGCACAGCTGTACATGATACCCTGCTAACACAAATAAATGGGGTACACATTAGAATTTTAAATAGATTTGCATGATATAATGTACCATAAACACAAAAGTCCTTTTACTCCAACAAAACAGTCTCAAATTTAAAGGCACATAGAAGAAACCAGAATTTCTGGAGCCCTTTGACTGAAGTTAAAATCTGCTTGCTCAAAATCCTGCATATTAAAAAATTTTTTAAATCTTTTCATCCGTAGAGAATGCATTTATTTTTAATTAAAAAGGTTTCCTGTAAAGTGAAAGCCTCCCATAATCTTACTACTTAACAAATTCTATGTAAACAGAATTGGAGAAGTTTCTTGTGATCCCTTCTTCATTGCTAACCAGTGTTCACACTTGGCGGACACCCTCCCCAAAGTTTTCCCTCATTCTGTAGATATCTCATAAAACACATGTTCTGTCCCCCCAACAAAAATGGAATTATTTTTGAGAGTACTAGTCTGCAACTTGCTTTTAACATGCAATATTATGGACATATATCTAGGTCATAACCTCATTCCGTTTAACAACAGCATTGTATTCCCTTGTTTGAAGGTGCCCTAGATTATTTCACCATTTTTCTGTCGGTGATTGGAGTTTTCCAATGTTGCTTTTACAAACAAGGCTGCAAAGAATATTGTGCATGTCCCTTCACCTACACATGCATAACTATTGGAGGATAGAGACCTAAAAGTGGGACTGCAGGCTCATAGCACAAGATATATATATTTATTTCATTTAACAGACTCTGCCCATATATTAGCCACCGGAGGTCATAACATCTTTGATATAGGAGCTTCACCATTTATTGAGTACCCACCATAGGCCTGCCAAATGTGGCTCTGGGAATGAAAAGACAATCGAAATGAATAAAAGGCACAGCCCCACCACCACCACAGAGCACTATACAAACGTAAATACTAAAATGCTAATACTCGATAAGTATACAATCACTTTTTAGAGTCAAGTATTGCCCAAGTACTAAATAACACATATGTGATCACTTTTTGTATCAAGTACCTTCGCTTAGTACTTTAAAGTCATCCTGTAACAAACTACTAGGGGAAATAAATGGAGTAATATTTATTTACTTATTTCTCATGAGATGTGTTTTCATTCCTTAACATTTGGGGAGGAGCAGGTATTTTCTTACTAGCACATGCACCTTTAACATGTCCTTACACACATAACCTGTCGGTGACACTTTGTTTTTTTTTCTGCTTTTGAATAACATCTCCAGTGAAAATAGTTTCCTGTGAATAGAATAAAAAAATTGAATTGTCCTTGACCCTGCAGACGGGGGGTCGCACAGGAGTGGTCATTTCCAGCTTTGTCCTTTTGGTTGGGGAACTGAAGGCCAGAAAGAAGCTGGTCACCAATTCTCTACCATTTCTCCTTTCTTCTCGCCCCTCCTTCCACCACCCCCTCCATCTCCTACCTTCCTGCCCCTTTACTCCCCTGCCTGGCCCACTGGTCTTTGGGTAGAGGCCAGGCGAATTCTCCAATGTCCCACGTTTGCTTCGGGAGGTATTTTAACAACGACCCAGAATTACAGAACCTTCCTGTGTCTTGTGCTGAAAGTTCTTGGGACTCACTTATACATCTGCCAAGGAAGAGAAATTCTAATAACAATCCAAACATTTTATATGTGACTTATTTTCTCTCTTTCTCTCATTCAAAATTACAATGAACTGGGAACACAACCTGAAACGGCTTTTTTCTTCTTTAGAATTCCGAAAGAGAAAAGTGAGAAACCAGCTTTCAGTCACTTTTTTTGCAGGAAGTTAGGGCTTTACTTTAGTAAAGCATTCTGAGAATGACAAAGGTTGATGAGAGATATTGATAGGGCCAGCAGACAAGGGTGAAGATAGTAATACTTCAGTAATTACTTGAGTAATACTAGTTCAGTAAAAATGGAAGCGTCATGTGACAAAGAAGAGTTTTATAGTAAAACTGCATTTAATGAAGAACACTGTTTTTCCCAGTTTCACTGAGATACAATAGATACACAGCACTGTAAAAGTTTTAAATGTATGGCATAATGACTTGGCTTATCCATCTTGAAGGTGAAAAAAATTAGCTTGATCCAAGTAGCTGATATACTAAATGAATTAAGCCTATTATTAACAATACCTGTGGGGGAAAACCAAGATTAAATTAAGTGAAATAACACGCCCAGGGTCCCACAGTTAGAAAAGGCAAGGGTGAGACAAGCCCGGTTTGTCTGGTGTCTTAACTGCATGCTGGCCCTAATGTGGGGACTTGAATGGAGAAATATTTGTGAAAAACACCTAGGATGGATTTGGAAGCATTATATAACACACAGAACCCTCATAAAAATGCTCACCATATTTTCTTATCCTTTAAATTAAATAGTTGTTAATATTTTAGATTTCCCAGATTAATTATCTTTAAATAGGGACCAAGATAGGATGATCAATTTTAATTATTCCAAGGACATTTAAAATTTAAAACAAAATAACAAAAATGTAAAACTAAGCACCAACTATTTGTACATAATTTTATATAAAAGAAAACATTTACAAAAGGAGATTTTTATCCCCAACATACACAAGTTCAGACCAAGAAAGAATGACTGAGAATTTTAATGTATAATTTTTTTTAATGGTAGAAACTGAGTAGAGTTTGAAAACTCTCATTTGAAGTTGCCGCTCAAACGCCATCAGGGACCAGGAGATGATGTAAATAAGTAAAATGACCTCCTGTAAGACAACGAGGAGTGATGGGGACTGTGGGGAACTGCAGAAAGTGTGAACCACCCTAAAACATTACCAGAAAAAATCTCAACAGTGTCAACCGAATAAAACGTACCTCAGACCCGTATCCCTCAGGGCTGTCAGTTCTGGTTCCCAGACCCGTGTGAAAACTGGGGAGAGGCAGCAACAATGGACATAAAGCCCCCAGTGAACCCTCTAACCCCATGAAATTCCCAGATTTCATGTTAAGCCCACAGAACCCACCCGCAGAGCCTGGGAAAGTGAGGAGAGGAAACCCAACCATGACTAACGTTAAATTTCTTCTCCGCCCCAGTAAAATAGTACTTAGATTCACAAAATATTTTGAGTTATAGAAAATAAGAGAGTGCTATTTCTTATATACTTCCTTTTGCAGACTGACGTTTACTTCAGTTACATAAACTATTGACTCTCATGCAGTGAAATCCTAACCTGAGCTAGTCTCCTTCTTCACTTCTGTTTGAAACTGTTTGAAACTGTCCGACAGTTTAAGGAGTGACAAAGGGTTACTCCGTGTCCCTTGTCTCTTGTTCTCCCTCCAAAGACAGTCCCCATCAGTCATCCTGGTGACTCGAGCAGAGCACTGCCTCTGTGCTACAGGCGTGAGGGTCCTCGGGGTCTTCATTTACGTTCACTTAGTGCATGAAGCGCAACTTGGAGCTTGGATCGCACTCACATTTTCTACTCCCAGGATTTTCTCTGGAGCATTGATATCAACCCACATTTTGGCCCAAGGCATTCATTTGCAGTTCTATGGGAAGTTTAGGGGTTTTTCCCTATTTCTTACCCCCAGCTGAAATAAATCCTTCTCTATTCGTTGATAATGAAAAAACCGAGCCCCGAGTCCCTTGTCTTGGTCCCCCAGAAGTACTCTCAATTTCAGCCGTAGCAGCTGTCAGCTCCCACCACGTTCTTCTGCGAGTCCTCCACGGCTCTTTGCCTTTGTTCTCTCTCACGTTTTAATGTTTTCGTCTGCCAGCGCTCTCCCCACAGAAACACCTCAGAGCGAAATGGTTATTTTTTTTTTCAATTTACTATTAAAATTACTCTATTTTCTGTATTTTTAAAATTAAAATGGTGATTTTTAGTCTTTAGATTCTGGCTGCTTGTTTTTCACTACTCCAACACACATAACCTTGGAAACACGTGCATGTACACAGTGAATACCAAGAACTGAACACAGCATATTGTACATAGTTGATGTTTAATTCATAAGTCTCAACTTAGAAAAGATGTGTGATCCAAGTTAAGATGAAGTATTTCCGAGAGACAACATAGGATTGTGAATAATTCTTTGAGCGTGAAAGCAGCTAAAGGCATCTGTCATCTGCTACTCCACTGCTCTTTCTAGTCCATCAAACCATTCACTCCCAGGCCAATAAATATTTCCTAAGTCTTCCTAGAGTTCCAGCTTCTAGATGCTCGCTCCCCCCTCCCCTGCACCGTTCCAGCTCGAGCTCCTCTGTCTTCATGTCATTAATTCCCTCTAAGTCAAAAGCTCTGCGTCCTCTGGTTCCCTGCGAAACAAAGGTGTAACTAAATCAAGGCTTTCTTAGGAATTTGGTTTGATTTTATAACCACCTAAAAGGACATCTGTGTTTTTGTTTGTTTGGTTGGTTTTGTTTTAAAGGTATTACTTTTCCTTGTTTTCTTTTATTTCCCTTTCAGTTCTTCTTCCTGAGATTACACATTTTAAAGCTATTGTCCCTTTTGAATCACGATTAGCCCAGATGAAACATCTAATCCTCAGTTTACTTCCGGGCATGACTGCAGCAAGTCAGAACCAGAAGGAACGCCAAGGAGCCGTGCTTGCTGTGTTTCCTGGTTGTGGCTGTTTGTTTACCATCCTGAATTTAAAAAGCCATGAACCCCATTGGTAAACATTTCAATTTCTTCTATCCATTAATGAGGAAGTTCTCTGAAACGACTTATTTGAAATTCTCAACATCGACTGAAGGTCATTTTCTTCCTAGTAACAATTAGTAGTCAGTACTGTCACACATAAGTAATATGATCATTCTTGCAGATTATTTTATATTTACCATATTAAGACCCTGCTTTTTTTGCTTCCCCACTCACACGTATCTGTTTTTCCCCAACCTATACAAATAGCAGTGCAGACTATATATGAAATGGCTGAAGCTCTACTTCTATTATTAAATAGACAATGTCCCCAAAGACTTTTTTTTTCCAGCCTCAATAGCTTCGACTCATCATAGCAACCCAAATACTCTAGAGACAATGAGTCCAAAACCCACAATGAGCCTCGTGGACTATGACAGCAAAGAGGAAAAAAAAAGAGAACATGAAAATCCCCTCGTCACCCCCGGGCCCCTTTTGTGTTGTTCCTGCCAACGCAGCAGCCGGCCTGCTATATAGATCCTCCGTGCCGCCCGCCCAGCCACTGACCCTGCACGGTGCTATCCACCAGCCATGGGGAAGGTGAGCCCAGCGCCCAGGCAGGCAGGGGCCCAGGCAGGTGGGGGGCAGGGCCCAGGCCTCTGAGCATCTCCTTCCCTTCCTTGCAGATCACCTTCTACGAGGACAGCGGCTTCCAGGGCCGCCACTACGAGTGCAGCAGCGACCACCCGAACCTGCAGCCCTACTTCAGCCGCTGCAACTCGGTGCGCGTGGACAGCGGCTGCTGGATGCTCTATGAGCGCCCCAACTACCAGGGTCACCAGTACTTCCTGCGGCGTGGCGACTACCCCGACTACCAGCAGTGGATGGGCCTCAGCGACTCCGTGCGCTCCTGCCGCCTCATCCCCCACGTGAGTCTGCAACCCCTTATCAGGAATGGGCTCTATGGACATATGGATAGTTGTAAGGCAAAGGTTAACCATTGGGGTAGTGACCATTCAGAAAAATTCAGAGTTTGGACAAAAGATAAGCTATGATAGATTCCTTCAAAATCGTTTTACCTGAACAAAAGCAAAGTGTTACCCAGGTACCAGCTTGAACAAGAATGTGTTGGAGCCCTGGGCTTGTATAAAATAGAGGTCCTTGTCTGTCATCATTTGCCATGGAGGTGCAGAAAAACCACTTTCATCTAATAGATGAATAAGTAAGTTCTGGAACACAGGGTAATTACTGAGTGCGCACGGGAGTTGAACAGGAAACTGTTACAACTCTCTCCTTTCTGCTTGCATATTTTAATTTTCCCCAACCAATGCAAATATAAGTACTTTCTCTCAATGGTAAACAACACCAAGGTTGTATACATGTGCTACATCCATACAACATTCAATGCTGCTTTCCGTAAAAATATCCAACCCCTTGGTGATCTTTCCAAGGTTTATTTTAAACTTAGTGCAAGATCACTCATTTAATAAACTGACTTTATTTTTCAAACACATGTGCTTAAAACATTAAAAAATATTTCTTCAAAATAGCAAAAATAGCAATAAGCTATTAAATGTTTCTCTGTGGTATAGTGTACTGGTTACTGTGATTAGCATGGTTACTCCCAGTTTGTCCTGGGAAATATTTGAATATATTAAAGAGTGATCTTTCCCTTTAAATTCCTTAAGTCACATTTTATGATCTTGAAACGGGGCTGAATCTCCACCTTTGAAAATAGGGAATATATAAATATTCAGAATTAATTATTTTCACCATGTATTTCCAAACAGCTTGAGCTGGTCTCCATCAGATTGGACTGCAGGAATGTGTTGGAACCGTTTCATGGTTTGCTTTCCCCTCTTTCCATCCCCAGATGGACCAGGCTGGCGCCCACAGGATCCGACTGTACGAGAGGGAAGATTACAGAGGCCAGATGGTGGAGTTCACTGAGGACTGCTCCTCTCTCCAGGACCGCTTCCACTCCAGCGAAATTTACTCCCTCCACGTGCTGGAGGGCTCCTGGGTCCTCTACGAGATGCCCAACTACCGTGGGCGGCAGTACCTGCTGCGGCCGGGGGACTACAGGACCTACCATGACTGGGGCGCCACAAATGCCAGAGTGGGCTCTCTGAGAAGGGCCGTGGATTTCTACTGAAATGAGTTCTTCATCATTTCTCAATCTGGAAACTAATAACATATTTTCTGTGTGTTTCTGGCACTGGTTGGCTTGTGTTTTTCTTCTCGCGTTGCTTCTATTTTTTTATTCGCATGTGTATACACACCCACAAACACAAAATGTAAAAGAAACCCAAGATTCTTGATCCATACATAGGTCACAAAGAAAATCTTCACAATAGAAATGTGCCTTCATATTAAGCAGAACTTTACAGCTTGCAAAACACAATCATAATACATTATCTCACTTGATTCCCTGGCTTTTAAACAAGTTGCTGCTCCAAACAAAGATTTCAGGTTATCTTTGAGCAGTGAGGATCTGAGGTTCAGAGAGAGAGTGAACCACTTTTTAAATTGGGAAATCTGAAGCTGGGCACTGTAATGGCTTTAAAGCATGTTTGACTCCCCTAAATGGTACGCAAAGTCAAGTTCACAAATCTCTGGCAGACTCCCTTGACGTTGAGGGGGCCATGTGAAACTCCCCGGACATCGGAATGTAAGCGGAGGAGGAGTGGAGGAGGAAGACCTGGCTCTGGAAAAACTTTTGCCACTCTGATGAAAGGGAGCAGCTGCCCCAGTGCGACACGTCCTTCATATATCATATATTTTATAGCCGAGAAGTGACAAATATGACAGAATTGCCACAATATCATGAAGGCTGGCCTGGATGTGGTAAAGCTCCTGAACCAATGTCTACTAGGGCTCTTTAGAGAAACAGAACCAGTGGAAATATAGAGACATATACGAAGATGTTTATTATGGGAATTGGTTCCCGTGATTATCGAGTTCTATGACCTACAAGCTGGAGGGATTCACAGCTAGTCCCTCCAAGAAACAGTCTCACAGACACATCTCAAAATAATGTTTACCAGTTTACCTGGGCATCCCTTGGGCCAGTCAAGTTGAAACACAAAATCAACCAACACGCAAGGCCAGCAATCTTTTACCTTCAGACTTTTGTAATGGGAGTAAAATATACCTACATTTTTTATGCCACTGTAGCCACCATGTTCTATTACGTGTAGTTCAACACACATTTCTACATGACACACAGTATATGTGAATTTTCCTGAGGTGACTCTGGGGAAGTTTATTGAGAATCTCAGAGAAACTTGTAATGGAAAATGCTGGAAGAGAGAGAGGAGAGCGAGACGGAAAAGAGGAAAGGCGGGAAGGAGGGAGGAGGAACTAGGAAGGAAAGCCACGATGAAGTTTCATGATGTTTAACATATTTTAGACCTAGAGATCATCTAACCTAGATAACTCATTTTAGGTAAGGGAAATTTTTATGTAGAATTTGACATAAAATTTAAATGCCAAACAATTAGTAATAAAAGTGGCATCAGAACCCAGAACTCACAGGTCAGAGACCAATGATTTTCCATTTCTGAACCAGGAAGATTCTTGTCAGAGTAATGATGGCACTTGCTTACAGATTCTTACTTGGAGATCATTGTAAACAACCAACCAGGGGTCTAATGGTTAAAATAGGATGAGACAGAGAAGTCTTACTCTAGAAAGAGTGGGGCACTAGGAGCTGCTAAGGGGTGGGGGCAGGTATTGGGGGAAGGGAGGAAGCTCCCAGTCCCTGGAACCAGAAACTTAACTAGAGAGCAACCAAGGCTGGGAAAGGTAAAGAAGGCAGAACTGTAGAAGTTTAAATCTGTCATATTTGTATGCTATCTTGCAACTGTCAGCAGCTAGAAAGAAGTTTGGCACTGCATTTGCAAAAGTATTAGTTGAATAGTTACAAGGTGATAAATAACCATGAGTGAGTCTCCTCATGAATCCCAAGGTGGGAGCTGTCCTGGCCTGTGCAGCGGGGGCACAAGCTGAGGCCATGCACAAGTGTCTACAGACGTCCCTGGTCCCGCTCAGGCTCCCGGAGCAGAGCTGAGGCCAGGCGCCCCCCTCCCCCCAGGCCTCCCCCTCCCCCGGTCTACCCCCTGCCATCCTTCCTCAGGTGTCAGCAATAGCTGCCACACCCACTTAGCAGCAGGTAGCAGCACGGAGACTTTCTCTCGGAGGAAACCCCTTTAAACGTTCCGTGGGGAAGGCAGGTCACCCCCATGTTCCACATTCGCTCACCGAGGACGCGCTCTAATCTAAACGCCTCCCGCTGGAGCTCATTCTGACCCCAGACCTGGTCACGCCCCTGCGTTGGTGCTCAAAAAGAGATCAGTTTGAAATTGAAAAAGACAAATATTTGATTACAATTATTAACTCGGTTAAGTGCCTTTGCTCAGTTCCAATTTCCTGAACAGATTCCATTTAAAAGCCCGAGGGACACCAAATTACTTTTAACCCGGGTCATCAGTTCAAAAGGTCAGGAGAGTCTAAGGGAAAACACATTAAGCAGCTACGCCTCCCCATACCACAACCCGGGCCTCTTTCGTGTTGTTCCTGCCAACGCAGCAGCCCGCCTACTATATAGATCCGCTGACCCTGCACCGTGCCTCCCACCAGTCATGGGGAAGGTGAGGGCCCAAGCCTCTGAGCCTCTCCTTCCCTTCCTTGCAGGAGGACCTGGGCTTCCAGGGCCGGTGCTACCAGTGCAGCAGCGACCACCCCAATCTGCAACCCTACTTCAGCCACTGCGTGGACGGACAGCAGCTGCTGGATGCTCTGTGAGCGCCCCAACTACCAGGGCCACCAGTACTTCCTGCGGCGTGGCGACTACCCCGACTACCAGCAGTGGATGGGCCTCAGCGACTCCGTGCGCTCCTGCAGCCTCATCCCCCGTGCGAGTCCAGTCCCCCTGGCCCCTCCGAGCCCTGCAGTCACAGGGGTACTCGCTCTACTGTAGGACGGTGGCCTTCTTTTTCTGGCTCTGTTTTTCCCCCCTTTATTAGTATCTTTAAGGTTTCTTCCACTGATGAAGTATGTGATGGAATGCTCTTCATTGGACATTTTATTTTGCTTTGTTAAAATTAAACTCATCTCTATTGGGATAAAGTAGTGCCTGATAAGGTTCAGTGTCAATGCCAGGGTGATGGTTAAGCAACCTCTTAACTGCCAGGTTGCCTTAGAATAGCTACTCTGACTGTTGCTGTTTTTCCTCATCTGTAAATTAGAGCTAATAGGAGGAGCTACTTCCTGCAGTTGTGATGAGGATAAATGCAACTCATCCAGCACAATCAAGCCATCCCTCCCCCAAATATACGCTCGTATTATAAACACCAGGGGTCTCTCAAGTCCTGCCCTCTGATTTGGCAAAATGAGTAACCAACAACGTGATTCCAGTAGCTCCTATAGAGATCACTCCTATAATATGACTAACTCCTACCCAAATAATACCCAGCAGCCCCAAATGCCACCGTTAGGGAGTCTCCAGTTAGACTATGACAGAATCCTGGGAAACATGTACCACTTTTGGTGAAGTTTGAAACCCTCTCAGAAGGGGTTTAATGCCTTGATGTGGAGCCCAGACTGAAAATCTGGGCTTCCGCTTTTCCATTCCTGACACTTCTAATTATAGGCTGCAAGCTCTGTCCTTAGCTTCTCATAAAAAAGGGAAGGACTGAAAATGCTGCCCCACCTGTTTTGGGCTGTCGTGAAGATCGAGTTAGAGAGCATGCACACAAGTCCTTCACAGGCCATGGAGATGCATCGTCAGCAGTCTTTTACGTTGCAGAATGAACTCCTTATGAGGATCTGCCCTGAAGAGGATTTAATGGTGGAAGAACGAGGATGTTGAATGGGCACCTGCTGGGAAGGAACAAGCAGATCAAAGAACAAGTACTCAGCGACAGACAGACAGGATTTGCCTGGAACTAACAGATTACCTTTCCATTTTTTACAGGGTTTATAATCTATCGATCTGTAAAGGCCTCTTTCGTGATCTTGAGCTTCCAATAGTATTAATTACCTAAAACCATTTTGCCCAAACGTATATTAGAATTAAGAACTGAAACCTAGTCTTTATGATGTCACCCACTTTTCAAAATTTTAGAGTAACAGGACTTAGAGCAGAAAGACATTAAGGAGTTGCCTGTGCTTACTTGCCACCAGTCTGTCCCCCACTTAAGGAAAAGCAACTTGACTTTCTCCCTTCCTATCCTCTATAAAGCTGTTTGAGAGTCAAAATAATGCCTTTGGCAGTGATATATTTGTATTTTCATTTTAATTTGTTATTATTTTATATCACCTAATATGGAGAGCCCTCGACAACAATAAGTTTATGAGGGAGAGAGTAAAACAAACATATAAAATTGCTACCTAAGAAAGGTACTGAACAGAGTCAGCATGGCTGATATAGGTTGCAACTCAAAACACTCTAGGGAGCATCATTCACATCATGGTCTATGTGCCTTCTAGAGTGTTCCAGTGTACAACCTATCCAACTGTACAGAGCAGCCCTGGCGTTGGAACTCTTTCTTTATCTTGGTCACATTTGATATAGAAAAGACAAACAAATGTCTATCCCCCTGGGCTGTGTATGATCATTTGCTACAAGCTGGTTGTTCTGACTTTTCCTGGTCTGCTGACTGCTGAATCCACAGTCCAGCTCCCACAGGATCTGACTCTCTGAGAAGGAAGATGACAGGGGCCAGGTAGTGGAGTTCACTTTGGACTGCTCCTCGCTTTACGACCGCTTCCACTCCAGTGAGATCCACTCCTTCACGTGCTGGAGGGATCCTGGGCTGGCAGTACCTCTGAGGCCAGGGCACTGCAGGTGCTCCCACGACTGGGGTGCCGTAAGTGCCAGAGTGGGCTCACTGAGGAGGGCCATGGGTTTCTACTGAAATGTTTTTACTCTGCTCTTTTCTCCACCTGGAAGCTAGTAAAATATTTCCTGTGTGTTTGAAGCAGTCATGTAGTCCTGTTTTCCTTTCAGGCTCCTCCGAAGGGCTCAGCAAAAATCAAGCTGGGAATAGTGTGCACTTTCTTACATGTATCAGTGGAAAGGGTGGTATAGGGGGCAGTGTTAAGAGCACCACCTCTGTAGCCAGAATACTGGGTGCAAATCCACTTCCTAGCTGTAGGGGATGGGACAAGTGACTTAGTCTTTATGTGCCTCGGTTTCCTAATTTGTAAAAATTG